GATTTATTTCCTCCTCTGCTGGACACCTACAGGCCCACACTTGTGCTTAACCCTGGGCACCAAATTGCACCTTCAGTCAGTATAGAGACTTGGTCAGTCCAACCTCCTCCAACTGCCCTCACCTCAACTTCATCCCCCACTACAGGAGCTGTTCCAAGAATGAAACAGTGAAGCAGTTTACAGGTAAGACTCAAGAGTGTGACCATCATTATCCATGTTAGTAAGAACGAACGTTAAATCCCTTGAGTATATTAGCATGCTGCCCTGTTGCACAAGCAAGGGGCTAGTGAGGTGCCCCCTCCTTAACTCATGCCTTGTAAAAGGGTGTAAATTCTCAAGGTGGGTGAAATATGGCAAGCTCTTCCACCATCCCTAGTAATTCACGTGTATTTCTGACAGTCCTTTACAGATGAACTCTGTGGATGTGCATAACAGAGGCCACATTCTCCTACAGCTCCTGGAGGATTTGTGGCTGACTCAGCACAACACACTCTAATACAGGGCTGATCTTTATGGCACTAAGCTCTTAATTACTACTCAGATGTATATATCCACAAATGATAAATCCTCTTAATTCAACCGAGCAACAAAGCAGATAAGACTGTAGTCACACTGTTATTTTAGTATAGTTAATAAGATTCAAAATGACATGCAATTTATTCATACCCATGTAAAATCTACCACAGGAAAAACAAAACTCCCAACCCAATCCTACAATACTGGCACTAAAGTGCATAATAAGATCTTGTCATTCCAAAGTGGCCTGCTGCCTTTTAGTCTGATCATTGTGTTGTTGACTGTACAAACAGCTACAATGTCTTGAAGGCGGTCAGAACAGGCGTGGGAACTCCAGCCCTAACAGAAAGGTAGCTTTTTTATTTATTTTGCACAGGCAAACATAAATTGTGACTAAAAGTAAGCAGCTCAGTTTCTATCTAAAAGTCAGATGCTCGTTTGCTTGCTTTGAGACTGCTTAGTCTTTTCCCAAAGAAACTTCCGTTCCTGCTAGTCAAAGTTTACTTAGTTAAGACTACAGGTAAGGATTTGAAGGTGGCAGTGCTCTACATGGTATCAGAATTACATGGTGAGTCATTGTGTGATAGTAGTAATGGGTCGCATTTATTTGCAACAACTAGTAGAACACATCAGTATTTCTTAGATTTCACAGCTGTAAGAAGACCTATACATTTACAGAAGCAGTCTTAAGTGATCTACTACAATGGCTTTAAAACACTGGATCAAAGTGGCTGTAGAGAATGTCATGGCCATGCTGTCCCTTTAACAGGACCCTTTTATTTCAATATGAATGCTATCCAGAAAGGACAAAGGTATGAAAAACAATTCATTGGGTGGTGATTAATAATACTGTTTTGTCTTTATGTTGATCCCCTTTAAAAAAAGACATCATTTAAATATAAATATGTATGAAATGTATAGATAAATATATAGAGATAGCTATGTTAATATGTAGTTTGATCAGAACTGGATTAATTAAAGAAAATCTAAAGGCACCACAATATGTCAGCATCATTGAATAAAATACTCACTATACTTTGCATTTATGTAGTTCTGAAACTAAGCAGTCAGAAAGCCATATACAGCAGGGGATAAGTCTCATTATTTTAATCTCACAGCCTAGACAACTAAGACTTACATTCACTTAATGATGAGCCATACTCAAACAATCTCAGGTGAAGAATTCAGCTGTTCTGACTCTCAGTTTTTTATCTAATTAAGAATCAGAAAGGCTTGAGAGCAAGATGAGAAAAGAAAACTTTAGAAAAACAGAGGATTTTCATTTGGGCCTGTACCCAGAGGTTATAATGAGCAGAGGACTGACTCTTCTCTTTGCCAATGGTCGTAATCAGTCCTATTAGCATTAAACAAATTAGCTGGTATAAAATCACCCTCTGTTAAAATAACTCTGATTTATACTTGCATATTGGACAACAGAGTCTGCGTGGGTACAAGTGAATAGTGCCTTGTTCTCTTTCTTGTTTAATTAATCAAAGTGTATTTAAAGTGAACAGTAATTCATCAGGCTAAAAAAATCCTAAAATGTATCATATCACGGTTGCAGCAAATTCACCTACGTGCAAGGAAAGCCTCATTTCTCACTTCCACTGGAGTTACATTAACATGGCTTTAACTTTGGTTGAGCTAATCCTTAGCTCATTTTAGTGTGACAGGAAAAACAAACTTTAAATCTTCTACATAACCCAGCTTTAAATTGGCTGCATTTTTTTTTGTTTTTTAATTATTTGACTTCAGTGTCAAATCAATCTTGGCTACAGATATAACACAGTGACAGACTGCCTTCTGGGCTGGGATGAGAAACAGTCAATTTAACCTGATGATATGAACCTTAAGGAGCCTTTGATAAGTAAATGAGGTTGTAAGACAAGATAGAGAAAAGTTCATTATGAATCCAAGCTAATGTAGCACTCGCAGACATGGAGAACACGGTGCTCCAGAAGAAACACCTTCCTGCAACCTGGAGAAATATTTTCCTTCTTTCAACAGCTGAATAGAGAAGAAGCAACTCAGCAATGCTGGGACTTGTCCTGCAGCTAAATTGCTGTTGGTCCATTTAGTAGAAGTCTCGGTCACAGCAGGGGGGTAAAGCACCAAGACTGCTGATATTTTCAAATCTCTTAGCAGCAGTAACCACACAGCAGCTTTTCTGCAAAATAAACAAAACAAGAATCCAGTTACTTCAGCAGTATACTTTTTTATTTGGTTAAGCGTTCTAGGACAACCACATGGTGGTTTCTTCGTGCATAAGGAAAAGAAAGCAGCACTGAAGCTTCTTGCTTACAAAAGGTTCTTGCAGCCACCTTATTTGTGAGATGTTTTATACAATATTAAAAAGACAAGGACTCTTTGTTAAGTGGAGAAGTGGTCCTGGAGGTCTCTCTTGAAATGCAGCTACTCTGCTTTTTTGCCTCTCTTGTCATACAGATCACAGCATGAAAAGGCACGCTGCAAACCTCTCCATTTATTTGTGTTACCACTGCAAGCATTTATAATGCCACGTCTAAATCAACTGGCAATTGAGTGTATTATTTTGGGTTAAATGTGGTAACCATACTACTTGCCTGATAAAAATAGCTAAAGGGATTCTTTAAAAACAAAGCATTGCTATGACTTTAGATCCACTCATTAAGTAAACTCAAATAAACTCGAAAAGAAAAACACACGCAGAGGAAATAACACTGCAAAAGCCAAAACCAGGTTTTCCTGCAAGTTAGATCATGGGTAGGTTACTATGTTACAAAGCTATAAAAAGTTTATTTAAAAATAATTTTGACTGCTGTTGGACAGTCAATTTATCTCAAAGTTGATTTTGGTTGTAATAGAAAATTGTGTAATACAGTGCTGCCTGCATTACAGAGGGAGAATTTTCACCATTTGGTTGCTGTGCAGTTAGTAGCTTGAAATGGGAAATAATAGATAAAAACACTAGTCTTGTAACAGGTTAGGAAAACCTGTTTAGAAAACTATTACATAGAAGCACACAGGTGAGTGGACCAAAGCTTCATGTAACCTGTCCCAGCACCAGTGAAGTGGGGATGAATGCTAAGGATCACAAAAAGGTATTCCTTCCCACTGGATTCCCATTACAGAAGTTGATGCTCAGACATTACCATATCAGGAAGTTATGTGGCTTCAGAGAGCAAGTACAATATAATAATGGTACCTTAGCCCTCACTGACCTCCAGTGTACCATGGAAAGGCAGCTTCAAGTCCCCGAGATAGCTCATTTAAAGATCATTAACTTCTGTGTTATGACACTACACTGTATAAAATCTGTTCTAATCTTAGTCAAAACAGAACAAAAATTTCAACCTCTCACAATACTCTCTTTTTCACATGTTTCTGGACAAAACCTGTTGCAAAGAAAACCCAGTACATCACTTGCCCTACCAAGCAGATGATAGATTATGGCAGCATTAAAAACTTGCTTGCAGTGAAAAGTGGACTACTTTTATGTTGGCATCTTGGTTGTTACTCATGACGCACAACTAAAAGGAAGTGGTTTTACAGTGTGTGTGTTCTCAGCCTCATTCACATCTTGACCCTCCACTGAGTTTCACCCAGAGAAGCCCCCAGAACCTTTGAGTGGTTCCCATGATCCTTCAACAGAGGCGCCAACTTCTGTGGTAATTGGTAAAAGTGGCTGTGGGAACTGGTGTACTGGTTTATGGAGATAGTGTACCGCCTGAGGTAGCCTGATTTCAAAGAGGCTGAGTGAGTATGCTTTGGTCAAAGACAAGAGACAGAACATGAGAGCAGACTTGAGTTTCCCTCATCCCCAGGGAAGGCAACCCAGCCAGCCTGAGAACCACTAATGAAGTGTTTGTTAATGAAAGGGCAAAGACAGGGAGCCAGAAAAAAAGGACAGAGAGAGATGCTCTGTCAAAATTGTTTGGGTTGCTACAGGCTCAAAGGGCAGAAAAGTGCCCTGTCAGAACTGGGTCCTCAAAAGTGTGGAGCAACAACCTCTTTTAGGGGACACCTTGCTTTCATTTCGCTACAGTTAGTGGAACTGCCCTGAGGGTCTGGCCCGTGCCTCTGCTAAAAAGTAATTACTTTTCATATTTCTACCCTTTTTAAACCATACTCCCAACCACAGCATGAAAACCTGAAAGCTTTCAACACTGAAAAATTATTGGGTGAAATTCTGTCCCATGAGAGCCAGTGGGAGCATAACCATTCCCTCTAAAATGGCCAGGGTTTGCAGCACATATGGCTTCATATATATGATTTTTTTTGCACATTGCTGTGACTTGGTATAAGTGATAGGGCCAGTTTACATTTTGAATGCTTTCCAGACAACAGCAGGGATGGTGGTGGGGAATACAGTTTGGTCCGTGCACTTTGGACTATGCAAGGTTTTTGGCCGCCCACTGATCCCTTCTGCAGGGGCTACAGTATTTACGTCTGAAGAAACACTTGGGACCTGAAACAAACCTTCTGTTTGGCAGCTCTTTCAGAAGTTATTGAGCCGGGGGTGCTTGGGACACACAGTCAGCTTTAGTCTTCTTCTAGGGGAAAAGAAAAACAAAAAAAAAGAAAGAAAGATACCATTATTGGAGCATTAATTGAAGATCAATCACATCTTACCTCTAGTTAAGGTAATGGCAGAGCACTGCAACATCAGCATGTTTAGTGAAGCTATTTTGCAAGGCACAAGAAGTATGAACAAAAAATACTGGGAGAGGAGCTACAAAGGATGACATGAGTTGTAAGGTTTCTATGAGGGCAGGGTTTCCCCAGAAGAAAATTGGTGTAGGAAGCAGCACAGCAGGTAAGCAGCCTGTGTTCTTGCAGCATTTGGAAAAGACAGTCTGTTCCCCAAGTTGCAGGAATCAGTGTCACTGGAGCCCAACTAAAGGGGTCAAATTCCATCCTATGAAACCCTCTGAAGAGATACTTAACCATGACAAACTCTCTTTATTTTTACTGTGTATGCACACTTATAAATCTTCTCATTATCTCATAGGCATTGCTGTTCTGGGAGATTATAATGAAAACTACATTTCAATGAAAATTGTAATAATTTATTTAATTGTTATTATTTCCCATTTTATACTACTTCTTGTTATCCTTAGTCTGTATAACAGGAATATCTTGCAAGGACAAAGCTGTCAGGACACTACTCAGTCCATCCTGCGCAAAACCCACACCACCTCATCAGCAGAGCTACTATTGCTTTATTATCACCATAATCTTTGCTCTTATTTTAATAAGATTATTTTCTTAATTAATAATATGGTCCCTTAATTCTTAACGATGGATGTATTTCAAAAGGCACCTTGACATATACATCCTAGGCAATACAGCAGCCATTTTATTTAACCCAGATGTGTTTTGCCTGCAAAGGAGGAAGTGAATATTGCACTTCAAATGCTGTAAAAATTCTGAAACCTGCTTAAAATTATCCCTTCATGAACCACAGAGTGGACTGACTTAGAATAAGCCAACAGCATGCTCATCAACAGTGTGAATCTCCCAAACTCACTGACTACTTAACTGAGGAATAATCAGATTTAAAATCTTGTTGATCCTCCAGCTCAGCCCAACTGAATTGTTCGTGTGAACAAACTGCTCCTTTTGTGTTGGCCACAATGCTGGCTACCCTTGAAGGGCAAGAAGGTGCTTAAGTACAAAGATACGCGCTGGGTGAGGTTCCAAGCTCTGTTGGGAAAGGTGTCCTTGGGAAGAGGTAGGATGAAATCTAACAGCACTCATGAGGGACTTCAGGAGAGCCTGAAAGGGTTTTCAAAGCAGGAAGCAGAATCATCCCCAGCTGGAAAACTCTTTTCATATGGTAAATCACTGTTCATTTTGTAAATAGTCTCATTTTGCTAAGAAATGGATCCACTCAGCAACACACAGCAATTGCATGATCTTATATTTCTTCCCAGATGCGCAAGAACCGATGAGCAAGTGTGAGCATGCAAATTATAACAGCTAAAAAAAAGCAAGGGGACAGACGTGGCTCACAGTGGCATGAAATGCAGTAGCAAGGAAGACTCAAAAACAGTTGAGAAAAATGTCAAAGCAAATAGTGATGTGGCAACACAAGAAGGCGACAGCAGATCTACAATGCACAAGAATATTTAAATTTAGGGACCTGGAGTCTGCAGTGGAGCTTGTGGTCTGATAACCATGGGTGTTTTAAGGCAGCAGTTGCACTTATTCTCCAGCTAAAGGAAAACCAGAATGCCATTAAGTGTATTTCCCAGAATCTTACAATTCAACAATTATGTTCTACAGGTCATGTGTTCTGCCATCATGCAATGCTGTCATTTCAGGACTCTATGCCAGATGGCAGCTAATCCTTGAAGTAAGTTTTGCTTCACAGCAAAAATGCATTCAGGTAACTTCAGAGCATTTTATGGACACAATGAACAACATCAATGAAGTGGCATTATAATATTCTGTGTGGACATAAGAAACTTAGATAAATCATGATAGTTCTGCAATGGAGCAGCACAACTGACACAACTGTGACATGGTGGCATGGAACACACATTTTAAAGATACATGGATTATATACCATTTTTCCTTGATGAGAAGCTTTGAGATGAAATCTTTGCCTTGATCAGAAACATCTCGAAATTCCTCATCTTCAAAATCCCAGCTACAGGACAGGATATTGTTGAGGGTCTCATTGTCATCATCACCCAAAAAAGGGGACAATCCACTGAGGCTAAAGTAAAAAGAAATGTGTTCAATCCTCCTGACATTTCCACTTCCTGTACATGATCTCCAATGTGCCAACTATGATTGTTCTGTCACTACTGGCCTATTGCACAAGTTATTGTCTAAGAAAGTCTCCAAACCATTCCCATTCTCTCCTCTATTTACATGTTTACATAATCACCCTTCTTCTCTAAACAAACCAAGCATTACTGTCTTTCATGGTAAGTCACATTTTCATATTTCTGACCACTCTTGCACATACCTACAGGGAACTCATCAAGTCGTCTACATTATTCTGCAAGTGTGACGCTCAAACACTGATGAGAGATGTGCAATGAAACAAAGAAGAAAAGTTCATGGTGATTAGAAAAGAGGAGAGATTACTGAATACAGAATTTGGAAAGAAGCCTACATTTTCTATTTTGGGTACAGATTTTGTCAATCTTCCAGCGTAACAACAAATTTGGATGACTGACACAGTTCAACCTAGAAACAGCTTACGAAGCAGATACTGAATCGTACTTACAGCATATAAGCGATGACTCCTACACTCCACATGTCTGTAGGAAATGAGACAAACTCATAATTCACAACTTCAGGAGCAAGAAATTCTGGAGTCCCAAAGTTAACTCGAAGTTTTTCCCTGGGTTTATATCTAGGAAATGGAAACATTAACAAAGGACATCAATTATAGCTCTAATTAAAGTTGCATCATAAGTTGCCTAGCACTTAGAGGGATTTCAGAAGCATATAGGAAATTCAGTAGGAAAACAAGGACAGACAGAGGTACAAAGTAAAAATAAATATACCCATATATAGAATGAAAAATGTTTGCAAGCTTTATCATGCTTTCGGGCAAAACTCAACTGCTTTACAAAGGAATAAATTCAGATCTCAAGGACTCCTCAGAGCAGCTGTTATCATCCTTTTGGGACTTCTCTATATCATAGGCACGGAATTTTTAACCAGTAAATCCTTCACTGAGGTTATTGTACCTAATTAAACTAGAAAGTCATATAGCATGGGATATATTGTAACAGTCCTTGATGGTCTCTTACACTCTCTCTTGAAGAATCTCCAGAGACAAAAGACCAGACAAGATGTACCACTGGTTTTGTCCATTTTAGCTGTTCCCAGATACTTATGTGCATGCTTAATCAGAATCAGCCCTCTTTTAAGCTTCTACTTGAAAAAGGGCTTCAGAAGAAATCTTTTTTACTCAGCTCCAAACTTTCCGTCTTAAAAGATATCCCTGGTTAAAAGAGACACATTAAATTTGTCCTAAGAACAGTAGGAGACCATTATGTATTAAATATGTCATCAAATATGTAATACTTTTTTTCATCGTTTCCTAATTCATTTATGATTAGCAAGAACACATGCATGTACCTTCTTGCCAATCCAAAATCAATAATTTTTATTTGATATGCTGCTCGGTTCACACACAGGATATTCTCAGGCTGCCAAAAGAAACCAAAAAACACTTTAATGAGAAACAAGTATGAAAAACTGGGCTTTTAGCAAACTGTAGGGAGAAAAACACTAAAAACACAGCAAACATCTCATAAGCACCTTTTGCTTCCCTCCTTGTTCAGATTTTTCTGCATGGGTACCCTCCCCCGCTATCACACAGCAGTTACGGTCGTGTGTTCTGTGCCTTGCAACTGCTTTTTCTCCTTGGCTTTTCAATTTGACATAAGGCAGCAGTTCAGATAAAGAACTCATTAGGGGGAGAGGGACAGAGAGTGTAGACTTCCAAAGAGGGTTTCAGGATGCTGGCACCATGATTTTACAGACCTTAATAAGCTGACACTGATTTAAAAAAAAAAAAAAAAACCACAACGAATTTGTTGGGCTTTGAAGTTTATCTTACAGCTTTAAGTTTCTCAGTTCACGAATGTTCTGGCAGTAACTGTCTGATTGAACACTGATATATTAAGCTAGTCATATCAACTTTATGCTTTTCTCAGAGATTTTAGCAAAAGGTAGGATTCACAGGTTAAATCCCTCTGGATTTTCACAGGGCCAAATGCTGTTCTTCATTTCCCTGGCAGGAATCCATTAACTTCCTAGAATTACTCCAAATTCATACAGAAGGGACTGAGAACAGAATTTGGCCAATTGTCTTTGAAATGTAAATACCTAAAATACAGTCTCATAGTCACTGCCAGCAGTTTTATAGCTACTCCGTCTTGTTGCTCATTGAGTCCTCTTTGAAACAAAACAGCCCTCAACACTTAAAACATTAGTTAACCTTTGTCAACATTACTAATTCATTTTACATGTAGGATTTTTAAACACCATAGGACTTTTAAACACCATATGTCCACAGTTTCTGAGGTCCTGGATGATTATGGTCAGATTGATTTTTTTTCAATTTCAAGCTTTCTTCCCCAAAGTCATTTGTTACTGACAGCAATCTATGAACAAGCAAAACAGAAGGGAGAAGCCATAGCTGGCAAGCACATGAAAAGAGGTCTCTGGGAAGAATTTCTTGGACTGTATGTGCATCTTTTTGTCAGCAGTGTGACCTCATATTAAAACTGTGTCATCTCCAAGAACATAATTAATGTGTCCCAGAGAACCATGCAAACTTGTGCTTGACAGGTTTCTAGGTAACTGGATGTTTATAAAGAAAGAGAAAAGTGAGTCTGGTCATTGATTAGCAACTGAAGCAGGTCCCAACAAGCATCTGCTCATTTGCTTAACCACTGCAATAATATATATGCTACCAACATTAAAGATGTACTATATTAACTCAGTTATTACAAGCCAAAAACAGCAGCCGTAATAAAAATCTCACCAAAGAGAAAACCGTCTTCTGCACTGTTTCTTTTTGCTTTGTTGCAAAGCTCAGGGATCACTAGGAAGCTTTATAGCCAGTCATAAAACTAAAGACATCATCCCGTTTTATTCCTGCACTAAACAGAGGTAAGAAACAAGTCTATTATTTGATAAAAACTTGGGTTAAGGGAGAAAGAGCCAGCTCAAATGTACAGTCTAATGAAATGTATCTTTACAACAAATGTTTTCTAAGGGGTGACAGTTAACCATTAGAAGTCAACTAAAGAAAGAATGTGCAATCGGTGGATTTGTTTTTAAAAAGAAGTGAGGAGACTTTTTGTCTAAGCAAGTACGTGGCAGAGAATCTGCCACCCTTCCCTGGGCTTCCAGCTGCACTAGCGGCTATTGCCTAAGCCAACATAGATGTACTGTATTTGTTACATCAGGGACCCACTATTTTCATTTCTTTCATTTTAGTAAGTACATTTTAATGTATTTTCCCTTAAGCTGGCTATCTATTGATGCCTTTTTATGACCACAACAGTGTAGTGTAGTCCTCAGAAAGATGTGAAGGGTTTTCACTGATCCTGAATGACCCCTGAATTTAGTTCCACTCACTCATGCCTTGGTTTCTGCATGGTAAAAAATAGGGATAATTGCTACGCCATGGCTGATGTGTAAAATAGAGAACTTGTGCAGTTGAATTAAATAATATTTGCACAGTATCTTGAGATCCAAATATCAAAATTGAAAATAGCAAGATATTTGTAGTCAGCTGCTGGCTTTCTGTAAAATCAGTCTGTGGAAAATTCAAGCACCATGAGGCTTGATGATATATGACCACAATTCTCATCTAATTTACTTAGTCCTGTAGTAATTTAACTGATCTCAATGCGGTTAAAGTAAATACACATTGGTCTAAGGAAAGCAGAATAAGGCCCTTTGTTGTTTCTGCCATGGGAATCTGCTAAGCTGTGTGGCCTACCATTAAGAATAAGAATTTCCACAGCTGTCATTGCACAAAACATACATCTCAATTCTCTACCTTGAGATCCAAATGAAGAATGTACATTTGGTGCATGTACTGAATTCCCTCGCAGATCTGTTTTATGAACAAGATGGTATCCATCTCTGTCAAATTGCAGTTTTCATCAATAATTCGGTCAAATAACTCTCCTCCTTCCACACTGATGAGAGAAAGACAACTAAGTGATGACCAAATCCAAATCTAATCCCATGCAGTTAGAGTAATACAGAATTTATGCTATTGACTATTTTAATCATTCACAGTCAAGTTCAGTAAGGTGGATCTACAATATGAGCTTGTACTCTGATCTGAACTTTCCAAGAACTGGGTTCTGATACATACTGGCCTGAACTTCTTCTAGGTCTGAGAATCCAGTCTCTTATCCATTGATAAGTACGAAAGTCCTGAAATTTGAACCTTATGCTGTCTTGGGTCATCATTTTGTACTAGTGAAATTAATGAAGTCACATGGAAAACCAAGACAACATGCTGGAGAAACTGCATTTAAACTGCAGTCCCCTCCATCAGAGTTTAAGAGGGACATGATCCAAAATTTCAATTTAAAACTATATGAAGTCAACAAAAATGACTTCTTAATTTCTTGTCACTTTCCAGAATGCCTCCAGCTTACCCATTCATAGCTACACAGACATTTACCTTTTGTGATATGCTAATCATGTAGACCAAATTCAGAGGACTAACTAAGAATGTCCAGAATAGCCAAACTCATGTAACTTTGAATGTTCTGCCATGCTTTTCAATGTTTTAGTTACACCCTTTTTGGCTTCCTTAAGACAACATCTGCTTAACTGGACTTTAAGGCAGCTATTTTGTGCCTAATTACCCCAATAACCCAGCATAAAAAATGGGTTTATCCATTCAGGCACCCAATATAAGGATTAGGCACAACAGCTACAGCTGGCTCCTCTTCAGTTGTAAGATGTCTTCTTGTTTGCCTCACAGAACTGGACATATTCTGAGAGGTCTGTTTCTTAGCGGACACATTTGAAATTAAAGAGAAGATACATAACACAGCTCTATCTTCAAATGGAGCAGTGGCTTTACAGCACCAGGAGTGTGGCACATCACTAGAAAAATTGCATAAATGGCTGCATGGGAAAACTTTTCTCTTAAATTCCATTTTTTTTTGTTCCTGAGAACATCTTTCATATATTCTTTCCACCTGTAAGAAGCTCTATTTCTAATTTCAGAAGAAAGTAAGAAGGAAATGGACAATTCTAGCAAAAGTGGTAAAGAGAAAGGGAAAGAAAAGAACACACTTACTATTCCATGACTAGTACAATGTCATTTTTTGATTCAAAGGCATCGTATAGCTGGATGAGGTTCACGTGATTCAGCTGGTTCATGACATTGATTTCATTCTTTACTTCATCCTGTAGAGTCATGAGTATTGTTACAGAAGCCTTTTCTCTAAGAAAGCTACGTGAAACAGGACATAGTTTGAACCAGACATCTACATTATCTTCATGTTTTCACTCATGGCAACCAAACACAGGGTTTTCCTATGATTGCTCCTGCAGTGGTAGATGGCAAGACTATAGGAGCTACTAGACTGAACTCCAAGCTTGAGTGGGGGACTGCTTCAGTAATAAGCTATTTGGGGGGAAAAGGAAGGGGAGAGCCCACATGGACAAATGGTGGGTTCACAGGGATGTAAAGAAAAGAGAGAAGCAGAATAGGACTTGGTTCAACCAGCTGTAGGTATACAAAATCATGCTGTATAAGAAAAGTCCAGGACAGTCATCAAAACCTCCCTTTGCAGTCAAGGGAGAGAGACTGGTACCTCCATTCAGCCCAACTATTTCAGACATGCAGTTTAGGATGGGCTGAATCTTTCTCTGGTGGTGCTGATCTTTCTCCATTGACTATAAGGGGATTCTTGGTGATCAGTTTGGCCACAGCTATACCTTAGCAACCCCAGTTAGCTGAGACAAATCCCACCCTTGAATGCCATTAATGACACCACTGTCACACAAAGGATGCTATGCATGTCTTTCCTGTGAAAGCAAGCCCCAGATGGCCGTGAAGTTTGCAAAACATGCCACACTAATTGTTCTCGTCTGTATTTGTGTTGATGTCAGAAGCCCAGATCTTGTCTGTTATCAGCACCCCTCACAGTGACACCAAGTCATTGCAGCAAAGGCTACAGTGTGCTTGGGAGGGAATACACTATGTCACAGGCCTGACAAATGTTTTTACCATTAAAGAAAACACTAACAGAAGTAACAGCAGAAAGTAAAAAAGAAAAGCCAAAGAAACACTAAGAGCTAAAAAGAAAGGTGGAAAAACTAAGATTAAAAAAAAAAAAAAAGAGAACACCCCAAAAGAAGACTTTGATGAGTTACTAGAAGTTCTGGAGGAGAAGGGAAATAGAACTAGAGCCAATGGTAATCCAGCAGGTCCTATGAGTGTGATGGCTTGTAAGCCACTTGGCCATGGTCTGTTGTGTAGCTGAAGAACACTGTGAGATCCATTGGGGAACAGAAGACTAATATCACATTCTACCAACCTTCTGTTTAGGACCTTTCGCTTTTATAATTTTGGCGGCTAGCTTGAGACCTGTTGCTTTCTCTTCACATTTGTGCACTTGACCAAATCGCCCTCTAGGGAAAAAAAAGGAGAAAAAAAAAAATCATCCACTGGTACTGGTGTTGGCCCTGAATGTAAACTAGGTTATAAACAACAGAAATTAACCTCTTCCTACTGGGTTCCATTTCAATTGTCCTATTGCTACTATTTTGTTGTGTAGATTAGACTTGCTACTACTCATTTAGGCACACCAAAATCCCACACTGTTCTAGCTGATATTATCCCACTTGTATGATTCACTATACTCACCTCATAACATGCAACGACTAATCCCGGGGAAGTCAACATACTGTAAGGATAATAACTCATGTGCACAGTCTGCCCCTCTCCACCATTCTCCTCCAAGGGAAGCTTGTGATTTCATGATGAAACAAAGCCTTACCCAAGACCATACTGCCATCAAAAATGACAATATCACTCTCTCCTAAACAATGTCAGCATGAGAGATGAAGAACTACATGGCTTGTCAGATTAGCCTGCTGGTCTATCTGAAAACATGCATGTGTTTTCAGGGATGGGACACACTGAAAGAAGGCTACAACATAAGTCTATGTCCTGCTGGCTGCAATGTGAGGTAAACTATTACAGCATCCTAGGAGCCCCATCATAAAGCCTGAGGGCAGCTGGCTGACCTAGAACACCACCAAATACAAGCCAAGTCTGCTGGTGCCAAACCTTAAGCCAAAATTCACTCACACAGTAAAATCAGCCTCCTGTTTTCATCCCTCTCTAAAGGACTGTTAGAGCTTAGACTTTCATGACTTCGGCTCTAGTGAGGTATGTTGCTTCCATTCACCTCCCGGGGTGCTTGGCTGTAAATTTGTGCCTTGCTTTCCATGTTGATTGGGTTCACCTGACTTACCCTCCCAGGATTTCATTCTCGCTGACATTGTAATAACTGCTGATCCCCACCCTTTTGGCTGAGACAATCCGGTGATCAAATGGTGCTGGTGGAGTAGGACTATCATCTACAAAAGACAAAACAGACAGATAGCATATGAGTGGTCACATGCAGTGCTTGTCTATCTCGTATTTTAGTCCCTCTTTTCCCCATGTAAGCTCATTTAAGAACTGAATACACCTACTCTAAGTTTTATAGATAGGTCTTTCTCTGTTATTTAAGAAGGGTTTTATTCCAGGAGCTCTGGCTCAGAAAACAGGGTGTTGTCGAGGAGCTACACTACTAAGACAAGGACTCCGTTATTAAGTTAGCATCTTCTGCACAACAGTAGCAAGAGGCAAAGTGAAGACCACTAGACTAAACCAATGTAGCCTCATGCCCACAAAGGGCCTCAGCAATTTTTTTGGAAGGAATTCAGCTTTTTCTCTCTTTTTTTTTCTTCTTTATTTTTTTCTTTTTTTTTTCCTCAGGGACTGTTAATAGGTAAGTATGTACTGTAACTCTCCAGTGGGGTAGGAAGAAAGACTGAGCTCTCCTCTAGGCCCAGCTAAAAGAGGCTATTTCCCAGATTTTGCTGTTCATAGTGAAGAATCCCTTTCTCTTACTGATTGACACAACTTGTCATTCTCCACAGTGTGGTCATCCCTTTTAAAGATCACATTTAGAGCTTGTGTACATGAGGGAATTTCACCCTGGCAGGCAGCACCTGGGATTTCCAGTATGGCTCAGGACCCGGTGTGGTAGGACACATGGTAACTGTCACATGCTGCTCTGAAGAATTGCTGTCCTTAAAAAAAGATGGCAGATAAAAGGTAAAGAAGGGCACAGAGAAGGGATGGGTTTCCAACATCACACCTCAGCAGCTCTGGAGTTTTGGCACAAATGCAGGTCTCTGGCATTATTGTCTGGACATCCACATGCTGGAGCATTCTGCTGTCCTGATCTTAAAATCCCTGCTGGAGACCAGCCCTGCATGCCTAATTTCTCTTTGGATTTTTTGCAGGGTGTTGCGACTTCAATTTCATACCCATGTTGTTTTCCATTTGATTGATACTCCCGAGAGTGACCTTTGGCTGACCAAGGTGACAAATACTTCTTCAACTGGTTGGGAGGGCTAGAGCCTCAGCATTTCAACATGAGCTTTCTGGTTTGGAATGCCGGCTCCCTTTTGTGTGTTGAGCAATTTTAAACCCATTCATTACTCCAGTGAAAATTATTAAAAACACAAACAAAAAAACCCAACCATGACAGCATGTAGCTGGCAGGAACACTTTGGTCATTAATGTAGCAGTAGATTGTCCTTATTCACAGTGAATGTCCATTTTTCCAGGACACCAGCTGTGTACCTAGATATTTTTTTTGACAGTGTTAATAACTTACATGGTCAGGAAGTTAGTTCATGGTCAAGGAATTGTGAAAAGCTGGAGCTTCTGGAAGTTTGCCACCTACTTGGGATTCTGCAGAGTTTGAATTGCACGTCCTTAAGTATGGGCCTTTACATGTTACTGAGACCCACAAAATGCCAAGAAATCCTCTACCTTAAAGGCAGAATTTGAGTCTAACACAAACTCCAAGGGCCCCAGCATGTAAGTGACAGGAGAAAGCTCAGCTCCCAAATGTTACCAAACTTTGGGCAAGGAAGTGTTCTTTTAAAAAGGCCAGAGTGCCTCTTTAAAACTATGCCTAAGTTTTAGCCTTCAGGATTTTCCCAGTGACAGGCCCTCTGTTCTTCTTTTCCTGCACACCAAAAAGGATTTCTCCCTATTCAAGAATGACCTCCCATTACAGACCAAGATGCTCCAAGAGAGACACTCTAACCTTAATATCATCCCTAACAATCTACCAGAGCTCAGGACAGGTTATGGAGTTTAAAGTTTTAGTACACTATCTCCTGTTTCCTGCTACAAGAGCCTAACACAAACATTTAATAAATGTTTCCCTTTCCCACTCTCCCCCCATTCCCAAAGCAAAGAAATTCATTGTGAGTCCTATGCATTCACAGGCATACAAATATATCTTCAAATCCTTCAGGCCATCCTCTCATGTGCCATTATTTCATATACAGAGATAGACACTGAAATTCTCAAGCTGGAGGTCTAATATTAGAAATCTCTGCTTCACCCCAGTAAGCACTGCTTCAGAGTTCAGCGCCCCAGCACCATGTATCTGACTGTTCAACATCATCAGTCAGGCTTCCACACAAAAATCTGTATTTCTTTATTTTATGGACTGCAGTTGTTCTCAGTTCAGATTGCAATGGTACAAATATGAGCAAGCTGGTTTTGCAGGCTACATCCAGAGCATTGCAGATTCTGTGTTAACATACGTTCTCAGCACTTCCACAGTTTTTGCCACACATGATAGAATTTCTCCCACCACTCTATACTTAGGAGTTTTAGTTCTGTTGTTAAAACAGGAGGGAAAGAGGATAGTATTAGTGGAGTAGTTGTGGCAGAAGCAAATTAGTTGTGACTAATTTCTGCCAGAATAGAAGCCTCTGAGATGGAAGCAAACAGAACTGTGTTGTTTCCCATCAGCTTAGGATGTGGCCCATGAACAACTGCTTCCCATCAGAACTACCATGCACACCTTTTCCCCCTACTAAGTACAATCATGAAATCCTTCTTTCCTACGGATGTCTGCCTCTGATCGTCACTGTAATATCAGTGGAATCAAGTGCTTTGCCTTTAGGAATACTTTCTGTAAGAGCTTCTTTTAGTTTTACATGTGTCATCAGCACTTTCTGCATCTATCCTGCTCTTTTTGTTGTCATCTTTGATTAGGCCTTCATCATTCACTTGATGCTTACTGCTACCACTATGCTCAAACTGGCAGGTCTGCTCAGTGACTGAATGATAATTTCCTGTACCTTTTTCGCAGCCTTTACACCTGCAAGGACAAAACATGGCATTAGAGTAGGGTACACTTAAAGCAGAGCAAATTTAGAAACATAGGTGAAAAATGTCTACACATATATTGCGTTCAAATAACATTAGGTTATTTTGCTTCATGAAGTAAAAGAAACTGTTTTAATATTCACTTTAAGAAATAAAAATGACACTTAAGTTAATTCATGACAGCAAAATGTTTCCCCATCACTGAAATCCTCACCTGAGTTCTTCTAAATTTAACATTTGGCTGTCAATCTCACCTTTAAAGCAATGGGAGAGCATTGGGATTTCACTCTGTTCATACAGAGCTTAAACTGGTTTACCCCTGAAGGGCTATATATCAATGCAGCAGAGAAAGAATTACACTAAACAAATTCATCAGTTTAATTGCCTGGGCAAAGTTTCACAGTTTTGTGTTATCGCTTAAGTTACCACATTTTGCAGTAACTTAATTCCCAATTGGTACATGGCCTAATCTAACCTTACTTTGCTCATAGGTTATATGATGCTGCAGTATATAAACATTACAATGGGAGAATTCTCCTCAAAGATGAAGAATAGCCTAACGTAATTCCCATGCTCCTAACCTATTTCCGAAGCAAACAACCAAAGCGCACTGCTAGTACTGTGTATGGTAGATTGTTTGCCCGTCTTTTTTAAGGGTATAATTTCAGCTTAGAGCTCAGATCAGAGACATAAACTCATTTTACACTTTTCTATTGGGCTGGATTTTCACCAACAATTATATTAACTAGCCACTTTGACTTGAAACTTGAACTACACATTTATCTAAATCATGGGTCTCTTAAGAATGTGCAGCCTGAGCTTCAGACCTTACCTTCCCTCTGGTGCCTCTTGATCATGGCTTTGTCCTGCCTCATCTTCATTTTGGGAAGGAGCTGGTGGTTCCTCAACTTCTTTTTCACTCTTATCAGCATTTCCCTCCCCTTCATTCTTCTCCTCTTGTCTTTCACCTCCAGACATGTAATGTTCCTCCTTCCTCTCCCCATCTCCTGGGGACTCACTCTCTATCTCTTGCCTAGTTATCCTTTGACAAGCATCATTAACAGCATCTTCTTGCTGCTTTTCTTTAGTGAAGGATTTCTGAACAGAGCTTCTCCTATATTTGTAACAGCTTTTGAAAGGCAAACTTTCTCCTTTCTCCTCTGGCCTTTCAGTATGAAATTTGGGAAGATCCACTTGAAGCAGAACAGAACTTTCCCTCTCGGCATTTTCCTTGTTGAGCTTATCAACTTCTTCCTGAGAGCAGGACTGGCTCTTCTGGATGGCCCCCTCTGTAAGTAAACAGATTACCAAGGAATCTGTCAGTAATTCTCTGATAGTCAGTAACAATATTAAAGTAGGGTTGCGCAGTTAGCATAACTTCTGTTGCATTTTGAACTAGGCACTTGCTTTCCTCTCCCACTTTCAAGGTCAGTGTAAATGTCTCCTAGGCAAGAGCAGACTACTTTAAAACAGGGATAACATGGGTCACAAACTCTTTCTTTCAGACACAGCACTGGAAAATGTTTTTCTCACTCAAATTTATCGTCAGCCAAGTCGAGGTTAATAAACTCCTCATGCAAAGCACTTTTTTGAGCAGTTTGCCATCATGCGCACAGGCATGTGAAAAGTAGGTTGATGTTGCTTGGATAATTCTCACTCAGGCTGATGAGCACACATGTAATCCAACCAACTTCACTGGAGCTGCTCAGGAGAGTAATGGCTATTTCTGTGCAGTTGTACCCTTAGGAAGTAGAAACTGATGAGAAAAAAAAAATTCTAACCTGTTGAATCTGGTGGCTTCTTCTCTTTTGTTCCTGTCTCATTCAAATGTGACTTTTCTTTGATGACCTGTGGAGAAGGCAATTGATGTATTAGTGTATACAGTGTTCATGTTGTATTGTCCCTCATGAAATTGCAGCCTGATTTTTTTTGGTCAAATCCAATTACTCTGTGTTCTAACTCACGCTTTTCCTATAAATGATGGTCCTTATTTTAATCACTACCAAGCTGATCAGATTGGTACCTGTGTAAAGCAAGAGAAACGATCTCAGTTGTAATCAACATCAGTGTTGGCATAAACACAGCCCAGAAAAGATCAGGGTTGAGCCGCAGGGACTAAAAGAAAAAATGTCCAGAAATGAGCTGTTGTCCTGCAATAGCTTTTGCTGTTAAGAACTAGGTTAGTTTAACCAAAGCTAGGAATATTTAATATTCTAGTAAAATGTTCAGTAACAGTCTTACTGACAGATTTCAAAAAGTTTTTTGCTGTTAATCAACATCTGGTAACAGCATTTTTAATGATCAAATAATTTATTACAGGCTGACCAAAACAGTTACCAGGAATTGGAGCGTATAGACCATAATGTCAGCTTTGTAGCTTTCTCTTATCTACATTTTACAATGTTACAGTGACATCTAGAGGTGCTTTATACCAGGCCAGCTCCTCATAAAAACTCTGCTATTAGTTATCTTTATGGCTATTTACTCATATTCCTACGACATTTGCTCAGTGTGTTTTTTTATTGGCCACTCCTAGACTTGTAGTAGGATGGTGACACAGTAAACCATGGTGTCTGCTGTTGCTCAGTGCTCCTTTTCCACTTGGCTTGTTCCTCACAGTACTATGAAAATGGCACTATCATTAATAGTAATAGACACATAGGGTGTGAAAAACACAGGTACCTCCAAATATTTGCCAGAGAGACTACTTTTCGTCTTTGAGCTACCAGCTGAAGCAGTGTAATACATATTTCAACAAAATATACAGGGCCAGGCACTTAAAATTAAGTGTCTTAATCATGCAAGCAGTCCCACGGCTTATTCATATTGTACACTGGGCATGAATCAGTCCTATTACTAAACATTTGTTCTGGTAAGCCCTCTGCATTTTTGATGCTTTTTTTTGTTGTTTTAATTTCATCGGGCTATATAGAAAATAGGCATGAAATTAAAGCAACGTGTATCTGCTACAAACACAGTTCAAGGGAAAGGAAACTCTGTGAGAAGGAAAAACAGTTGAGAAAAACTGGATGAAACTGCATGAGAGGATTTCAGCAGGACTTGTTCAGAAAATCTTGATCTGTAAGGGACAAAGAAACTGTAATATGAGCATAAGAACTGAGACTGACAACTATTTCGGATGCAGTTGGTCCCAGGGAGTTGCAAGCCGCAAAATGAAAAAGGCCTAGATACAACTAGGTAATTACCCTTGAAATATAAATTGGAGCCTTGTTCCCATGGAACTTGAATATAAATGTAATGATTCCAGATGGATCACAGGGAATCAAGCAATGCTCATTCTGTTTTTTTAATGGTGAAAAGCACTAAAAGAAGTAGGGAAAAGCCTCACACTTATTCATTCTGCAATGTGACCGCAATTAGTAATGCACTCAGATTCCTGTAAGTATGTCAACTTCACCGTACCACTGAGGACATCAGCTACGATCAAATACAGTCAGCTGCACAAATAACCAGAGAAACGGCCTCCCAACTCTTTGATGCATGGGGCCAGATTTCACTTCTGCATTCAGAATTAATTGCAGGCACACAGCGCTTCCTACTAAATATTGCTGTAGTTTGCAGGTGTGAAATACAGAAGCCAGCTTTTGAAAATCCGTCCAGTGGAAGGAACACTGGACGATGTCGAATACCTGAAACTGCCAGGGCGTTACATAAATTACTACAGTGTTTATTCAAGCATCATTTCTGATCTCTTACATTTTAACAGCAGATGAGGAGCTCATACTAATTTAAATGAGAAAAAGAAAAAGAATATAAATGAAAAATTTACTGGTATCCTTCAGAATCAATAAATGTAGCTATTTGCAATAAATATAGGGTCAATAGTGCACTAGAATAAGAAATACAAATATAAGGACTAGATATTGGACTATTTGTAGACACATGAGTAGAGTAGTCTATATATGAGCATCCCAGTTTTTTCCATGTTCTGCTATTCACAGCAACATGTAACTTCAGCTTGTCAAATCTCGACCTGGCAATAAAACCATGAACTTTTGCTCATTATTTCTTCCCTGTAAAGGGTGGGGTTGTGCCAGGTTCTCTGGAGCTGACAGGAGTCAACACATCCCTGCCAGCCCAGCCACGGGAAGTACAAAGACCTCCTTGTAGTTTGTCAAGGGAATGCGCCCCTGTGATGTCCGACCCCAGGCAGCTGGGCCAGCCACGCTGAGAGCCCACAGGTCCTGAGCACCCAAGGCCATCGCACTCTTCTGAAAATCTCATCCAAAAGATGTGGTGGTTTGTTAATGACATCCATCCCATCTGACTACTATCCATAACACTCCTCTTTCTTCAGTCTGTTAGTAGTGCTTCCTCAAGGGTCTTTTTAACTTAATCCCTAATGGGACTTTATTTATTTATGCATTATTCTTCCTGAACTTTGATGACAAGTGACTTTTTCCAGTCTGTAATTTCTAAAATTATAGGAATCAATATTTCTTAGTGGAAATTATGCCTCCACCTTATTTTTTCCCCTTTCTTTAATGACTTGAATATGCACAATGGGTTTAATAGCACCGCACACATTTTCCCTATTCATACAAATCAAAAACTTTCAATGAAGTTTTCATTTTAATTCCACAAAAGGTTAAATATGAAAGATTGCATTGCAACCCTACAAAATACACCAAAGCAAAAAGGTGTCTGTATCTACACAAGTTGGTATTGTGTCTTCAAAAATACATTTTCCAGACTTAAACATATCCTTTCATACAGAGTATTGCTAGACCCTAAGTAATATGGACAGAATAAAAGCACACATGATGATAACAGAATAATGTGAGACACTCCAGAGGCTGAAACTTTAGTATAGACCAATGGAAAAAAAACACTTTCAGAAATTATTTAAATTGACTTTAGAAATCTGCAGAAATTAAGCAATAAGCAATTATATATATAAATATATTGTAACAGAAATTTCAAATGCAGCAAGAAATTAATGTTTTTTATAGACATCTGACTCCTTTTTAATGAGCTGCACTTAGTTAAATTCCTTCTTTATACTGTAGCAGTCTTACCCTTGGAATGTTTTCCTAGCTAACTTTCAAATTTTTTTTATTCACCTCATAAAGGTCTTTGATTTTTTTTTTTCCCTACTGCAAAAATTTTTGTAACAAATGGCCTCACAAAGCAGCCCCAATCTTTTAGGTAGAGGTCCTTTATCACCCCATCACATTTCATGTGATGTCAAGACATGATTCTCAACTTCAATCAGCCGATGCTGAGACACAAAATTTTGCATCTGCCTAAACCACATTTCTTACTTGGTGTCTCTTTCTCATGTTCTTAAGGTACTTTGCAGAGCTTTATTATGTCAAGATATCGTGGTTTTGTGTAAGACCTGATCACCATCATTTATCAACATGATTAAGTTACTTGAGCTTTGCGATGAATTCACTTCACTAAGAGCCAGAAATCAGCCATGGGCTTTGCCACCTGAGCACGGTACTGTGGATGGTCCCAGTATCTCCACATCAGTACACAGGAGAGTGCACACATATGACAGAGACCTTGGGGCAACAGCATGCGTGGTGATGCCTCCTGTGCTATCCCCCAAAGCTGGAATCCATCCCCTCCTTCCCTTTTGTGTTCCTCTTCAATACACATCCTTTTTTTCCCCCAGCAATGTAAAATATTCAGTGAGTGTATTTCTGATACAAACTTATAAATGATACAAAACGTACACATGGGAATCCTGCTTTTACTGGCAGGCGGTACATCTGCTTCCGAGTCATTATTTTTTGCTACACTACAGAAACTGCTGGCACCTTCAGGCAAAGATTTTTACTCTACTGTGATCTTTATAGAGCTCCTTGAACTAGATAAAGAAATTATTCTTCTGTATAAACCAAACTCAAGTCACAAGTGTCTTTTAATCACACACAAAAATAACCTCTGAGCCATGACAATCGTGATTCCCCCAATAGGAAATACAAGAGGATTTCCATGTCACCTGCTGCCTTGAAAATACATTGGTAATGAGGTAACAATCTCTGCATGAAGACACATACTAAATACTGAAAAAACCCTTGGAATAACACCATCCTAGGTGAGAAGCTGAAGATCAGTGAAGCCAAAGCCTTGTTCATTCCCCACTTCAGTTTGCTAACTTCCCACCCGCTGCACTGGAGAAGCAGTGGCTGTCCTGTTTCAAATGGATGTTTCCTCCTGCCAGGCCATTCTTCTCAAAACAGGGAATCTTACACTGATGAGTAGAAAAGGCTTTCATGCAACCAGGCTCCTGACGGAGCCCATGGCCTTGAGCGTGCCATCTGCTACAGTGAAGACACAGCATATTGCACTACCAGTAACAGGTTGCTTTTAAACATCTTTACTTTTGCCTTGATTTCTAGTCACTTTAACAGAGTCAGCATCAGGCCTAAGAAGAGCTTTGGAGGTAGATTTTTTAACTCCAATTCATTGGTATAATTTTAATGTCTCTGGAATACACAGAGGCCTGTAATAATGACCAGCAAGTCTGAGGCTACCAATCCACCTCCTAAGACCAGAGCATTCAGCATTACCTGGCTTTGACACACATCCTTTCACTGCATCTGGGAAATCAAATCAACCTGTTACTATCACTTTTGGGTTTCTCACCTGAACAAATCAGGGGCAACATCAGGCAAGCACAATCACTGGAGACTCTGGCTGCTTGTCTTACCAACATATTGGAAAGCCTCGCATCTACCCCTTCTCTATACGGCTCAATGTCCTCTTACGTGTGGTGGTCGACAGGGTCCCATGCGATTCACAGGGGCACGTGTGCCTCATATGCATCTGTGCCATAACCCCAAAATTTTCTAGGTGCTATTCTCCACATTTTC